AGAACATGGAAGAAGAAACAAAACAACTAAATTTTAATCCTTGCATATCGAAGGTAATAGAAGAATTAAAGCGAATATTATCTAATTTTATAATGCAAATAAACAATTTGCACCTAAAACATCTGGGGAATGAAGTATTAAATCAAGGTGATGCTGAAGATATGGTATTTATTATTGGTTGCATCATTAGCAAATTGAAAGAAGAACTATGCGACCAAGAAAACGTATTAACAAAGTCCTATCTTCAACAGACCCTAAAGTATAATTTTGAACAATCATGTTCTCACAAGTCTGCTAATCCTAATAAGAATACGTCACAGTTACAAACTAGATTATCATTACATGAAGAATCATTGGACAACATAACTGTAGCGAATAATAATAAGAATAATTACATACCTGTAGAAATAAAGTCTCAAAAACATGAAGGGAATTTATCAATAGGAAGTAGTACCATCGCTACTGCTGTAATTGAAATTAACAATAAAATTGATTCGTGGAACAAACAAAATAAAAATTTTAATAATTTAAAAGAGATCGATGTCACTAGAACAAGTATTAAAAAGCCTCGTAATATTTTCAAGAGTTTACATGATAATAATTTGGAGATCACAAAAACAAATTGGAAGTCTCCTACAGAAATTGAAACCACCGTAACAATTGAACCTACTGTCACAGACCAGCACCCTATTAAAACTAAAAAAGATTTATTGGAAAAGAGACCAACATCAATGGAAATACAGTCTGCGGAATCAGATTATGGCAATGATCAAGTTAGTATATGTAGTACAATAAATTTGATTTCTGAAGAGGATGATTTGTCACAAGATTATAGAGAACACTTTTGTGATTCACACAATACGATCACTGAATTTGAAACTGAAAACTTGAGGTCCTATAATTCGGAAGAAACACTAATTATACCAAATAATAAAAAAAGTACTACCTGTAAAGAAAACTTAAATGTAAACGATACATATGGTAATATTGAAATCGATGAAGCAGTTTCAATGAGTAGTAGTACATCTTCTCTTTATATGATTCCTAGTTTTTCACAGGATGTGGAGAATACAAATCGTGTAAATATAAATCCAAGTGTCAGAAAGCATAAAGATATTGTGGATAAGAAGTTATTTATGATTTGCACAGTAGAACTAGAAAAGCTTAAAAGTATATCGAAGACAGTAAGATAAGATGATACTGTTCTATTACCATACTTTTTCATTATTTAATACCACTCTACTTTTTGTATAGATTACAAAAAAGTATATAAAGATGAATTTAATATATCAATGTAAAATGAATCAGAAAATGTACTGAAATAAATGTAATTATATTTTCCCGGAAACAAAATAGAATATGCTACACATATATTTTTATATTTATGTCTGTATTCATTGGAATAAAAGTTGATCAAAACAAGGGTTGTTTTTTTTGTACCAAAACACTCGAAGATTTCGTTTCCAGATCTTGGACAATATTCTTTAACTCTTTCCTAGTCTGTGACCAAAAACTAAGCTTCTAGTTGTTCCAATGTTAACACATGTGATGTATTCGATTAAACTGTTGCTATTGAATATTTCTAATATTAATTAAATGTTGTTATTCAATATTAAAATATTGTTTCAATAAAATATATATTGCATGATATAAAAATGTAAAAGAATGCAATAGTTTTTTAGATTTTACAACAGTAGTGCAATAAGGTATATCTGTTTTAATGAAGTATTAATCAAGTTATTGCACTATCACTTGGAAATGTACGTTATCGAATACGAAGCACGGAATTTCTTTGTCAAACAGATTCATTGTAAATCTTATAATTATAATGTTTATCATAAAGCACGATTGTGTGATGTAACAGACGGTCAGATGCAGAAGTAACAAAAGGGATTCGTACAAATAGTTTTCTTCTCGATTGGGATCGATACATGGTGATGTACTTATCAAGAGGGTTGTTTTACACTTACCTGAACAACACGACAGTTAAATCTGGCGCTGCATTCGACGTAGCCACATTGCCAGTGCTTCCGGACAAGATTGACGATGTCCCTGTACCTACTTCCGGAAGCAACTGCAGGCGATAATTCGTCTTGCTTGTTTCCGACTACTAATAATGGCACACCCCTCATTTCTCGACCTTCGTAAATTTGCTCTCGCAACGTTCTAATATACTGCGAAATAAAGAAAGAATAGTTGTTCTACAATCCAAGTCGACTATTTTGCTTTTCATGCCTTCTAATATCTGCTACCATATTGGAAAGCTGAGTGATTATTGCGTTGAGTCAAAAATTCCAGACGTTCCTTTGCATTAAGTTTGCAGTAATTTTGAATCTTGAATATGTTCCGAATTATTAGCACTTCGCGGATCATCGTCGCGTCTAGGTGTAAAAGATTGTAAAGAGAGTAAATTTTCATCGAACACGATATTTTTTCGACAATTTTGTTTCGTAGGGTAACTTTATTATTGCGAAGTTATTATTATCACTATGGCGCATTGAAAACATTAAAGGCTGCGTTAGAAAATGTTCATATCTGTAAAATTGAATACAATTTTTGCCTACTTATCGGACAGCTTGCCAATCTCTGAAACACAAGGATTAAGTTTTGGCAAGAACAACGTCTCGATGTACTCTGTACATCTTGTAGAACCGTCAATGAACTTCAATGAATTTTCATTTCGCCGTTTTTAAAGCATCCGTACTTTTAAAACCTGATCCGCAAAGTTTTGAATTTTTATCCTATTTTTTCAGTTTTCAATATTCCTCTGTTATTCTCAATTTTTTAAAATAAATTTTTCAATATTCCCCTGTTCTTATAAAATCCCATTTATTAAAAACAATTGCAAAATAAATAGTGAAAAACATTTGTTTTTTAGTTAAATCTTATTCGATACTGTTCTATTTCTGTTGTATGCATCCAAATGCTCACTTTCGTCGCTTTGATAGTTCAATAAGTTATAATTTAATGAAGAATTATTTGGAACACCCGTAAAATCAACGATTTAAACAATTTCTTTAAATCCTCTGAAATACGTTTTTTGATATATTACTGGAAACTACGACATATTCAAACAACAAATTCCGAAACGATACAGCAAAAAGTGTTCGATCTTGCGTGAAATCACTATATAACAACTATAACCATCGGGCGACAGACGATTTTCACAACTGCTACAATTGACAATGTTTATTATCTTTCTCAACTTTATTCGTCAATTTTTCAAAACGTATTTTTGATGACACATTTCTTAGACATATTAATAGACTGCCAATTTTTGTGGAAAATAATAATAAACAATAATAATAATAACAAAAATAAAAAATAAACAAAAATCATTCTACATAGTTGATAGCGATACAATGATATTCTCGAATTGTATAAATGTTTTTGCTATTTTGAATTTCCCAAAATCCGCAGTTTATTTATTAGTATCTCTGTTGTTTCTAATATAATACCAATTTGTATCGTTTAATTCGAAATGACCCGGTAACCATAGTCCGAGGGTTAATCACTATTTATACCACATTCGTTATTTTGTTGTTGTTGGAATTTACTTGCCAGCAATAGGCATTGTGTAGAACACGATGAAAATATTGATTTTTATAACTCGAAAGTTGTTGAGAAGTGGCTCGTGGCTGCGTGGGCTTTCAAAACTACGTTTCATTAATTAAGTGTTCAATTACGTACCTGAAATGTCTCCTGATTGCTGAGGTCGAACACAAGTACGTAAGCGTTCGCACTTCGCAGACCACAATAACGGAAGTCGGTCCATTCGAGGTGCGAGCTGACCGGAAAATACGGGATCGTCGGTAGATCCGTGATTTTTAGCTCGTACAATCGGTCGGCGAGTACCACACTCGGATAGAAGGTCTCCCTGCGCTCGGTTGGCTTGTATTCCTCGGAAAATTCGCTCCACACGAATTGCTGCAACGCACAAACCACGGATTATCGTCAGTTCCCTTCGTAATCCAAGCAATCTGTTCCGGTTAACAGACAGAAAACTGATTCAGGGAGTTTGTTACATAACTGCGAGATCGCAGATCGTTTTGAAATTTGTTCGCAAACTTTCATTTGTAAACTATGGAAATTCGGTGATACAGGCTTATGGTTTCTATTGACGATTACAGATTGCTACTGGGTGCTGCAAGCTTACTTGAAGCTCAGCTCAGTTGGAGTTTCTCGTTATCACTAGAATTCTATCAGCATTTCTAAGATTGATAAATGATTAAAAAAAAGATTATATTTCTATGGATTTTCGTGCGTCGTATGAATGCAATGGCGTGAGTTGTCCAGAGATGTTTTAAGAACATAGTGTTTATTACTGATAAGATTTTAGGGATAAAAGAGCAGAGTTTCTTATGTAAATGAAATTAATATAACAGGTGACTGTACAATATGGAAAGACAAATTAACAACAAGAACAAACAATAAATATTCGGAGTACTCTCTGTAGTAGTATCGTATACACAATACACAGTGTACACGCTGTTAATTATTTTCCGTCAATTAAAATTATTTCAAAGCAGGACCATGATTTGGTAACACAAAACGGCGTGAAAGTGCTCAACCTAATAACTCAATGAGTCATCTAATTGTAGGTCCTAGTGGCTCATCAGGCTCCGTGAATAATATTTTCTTGTAACTATACAGGATGGGCCAGAATTCGTAGTACAGCTGAGAATGGAGTGATTCCACGTTAAAAAATAAGAAAAAAGTTTGGTGTAACCTCTTTTTATCCGAAGGTTCGTTTTCGAAAAAATCGATTTTATAGTTTATTCATCTTTGTAAAGGATTTAGCTGTGATCCAAGATAGTGTCAACAAACATTAAGAACGATGGAAACATTCCGTTTGCTAAATAATTCGCAATCATTAATATTTATAAACACTATCTCGGGCGGAGGCAACTACAGTAGAATAATAGACGACAACGAAATCCTTCCCAAAGATGAACAAACGATTTTCTCGAAAACGGAGCATTTAATTTTTTTTATTGCGTCACATCTTTCGGAAAATAATTCTATCATCGTGAAAGGAAAGCACAAACTGAGTCTCCAATTATAAAATTGTTCATCTATGTTTAGTCATGATTGTATTAAATACATACAATTTGTTTCAACAAAATTTTCAAACATTTTAATAGTTTAAATGTTTTATATTACTTTAGTTTATAATTTGTGTCAGGGTTATCTTTATTTATTAAGCTATGAAACCGCCTACAGGATTATTAGCATTGTACAACATTGTTGTAATTTGTATCTACTTAAGTGTACTTAATATTCCTAAATAATACGTATGAATTGTAGTAAATAATTATGAAAAATTAATCATACATTATCCAATAAATCATTACGTTCGATGTTGTACACGTTCATTTGTACGCTGCAAACGTATTTAATGGGCTTAAAATTTAGAATGTGCTCGTGAAAATCGAATTTAAATATTTGCGAATTACCGACGTTTCACTAAATTGTCATCGGTATGAGAAATGGATCACCGAAGTCGCGGAAATGTGTGCGTTCAATTGAATTGTTTCTGCGTTTCTACATGTTCCGACTTTCGTTACAAAAAGGAATAATAAACCGAAAATTCCGACATTCTGGTGCGTACGGCGTATCTACTACATTGCGATTAAATATTCTATAACTCCTTTCCATGACTTTTCATTTCCTCGACCGCCGACAGTTACCATTTGTAACCGGAAACTGTCGCCGGAAATGAAAGGAAGTCATTCACGTCTTGTGAAGCAGCATTCGTTACTGTTAGATTGAGAACCTTTTGCTTCTTTTTCGAGTTATGAAACCAGGCGACATCGCAATTTTATGATTTACGATTTCCAATCCGATTAAATATTTGTTCCCGTTTTTAGATCTACGTATTTCGCGAACAACGATATTTTCACACGTACGAAAATCATGATAAACTGCAACCTCGTAAAAATCAACACAAATTCTTTGAGCCTCTTTTTCGATAACATATTTCTCTTGCAAAATGCAGCAGCTCTATGAAATGTTTCAAAATCATGCGAGTCGTGATCAGCATTTTTATATTCCTTCTGCAATAAATAACCTGTTAGTTGATTCTAATCATTAATTCTAATATTTGTGCAATGATGTATGAAAATCAGAATTTATATACTGTCTATACAATTGCATAGATTCTAAACCGCCCTTGGAAAAGATTCGATGAATAAATAGAAGTTATAATAACCGTTATAAGCAGTGGCGAGAAATAACAATAGAAAATTAATAAACCGATAATTGAGTTTAACTTCTATTTTCTGCGACAGTTTAGAAAGATTATTTACATTTAAGGAAAACAGTTTCTCATTCTGCGGATGTAAATAAAGATAACCTGAAACGCGGTATAAAGTGCTTCCTAATGGATAATCTAGCTTATCTTACTTCCTAATTGAAGTATTCTCTCGACCAAAATGTCGCTCCGCTGAATAAAAGTTTTTACCACTCGGAGATTATTAAATCTCATCCCCGTTGCTTAATATTGCAGTTGACAAGTTTTGTTAACTCCACTTGAGACTTTGATTGTCCGACAAGAAAATTGCATGAGAACTCAAGAAAAGAAAAATATCGAATACATTTCTACTTCTTTTATTTTATTTTAAAATTATTTTACTATAATGTTCAGTTTCTGTTTAAATTTTATCAATTTTCGATAGCAAAAAAAACTCACGAAATTTGACTGAAAAGGAATCATGTCTTAAGCAAAAACATCAAATTCCATTCACGTAAAAAAGAAGCCAGTATTAAACTGACATATACGTATAAATAAAATGCTCTTATCTATTCTATTATTTATGGTTCCAATCGAATGGTTAAGCTATTAGAAAGTAGATAGTTGGTTAAAATGCGAAGCATCTTGTCCTTTTTGTTTCTCGAGAGTTCTTAATTTTCTCAAATAGAAGTGCACATATGATTTGACAAGAAACGGTGTTGAAATATTGTCTTGATTAGAATGAGATACATTCCACGAGGAAGATCGATCACGTATCGATCTTGGAAATTGTCGCGGGTGGTGGTCCCTTTCGGGTACATATTCTGTAACTCGCCTAACTATGTGTGTAACTATGAACTACAGTGAGAGACTGCGATTTCCTAATCATAGGCGACAGGATATTAATCCTATAATTTTGTTATCAACATTCACACAATTTTAGAAACAGAAAGTGCGATACAGGTTTGCATAATCGATATTTCTAGTTTACACTCTAATCTAACTTGCATATCTGTACAGTTCTCATGTTTCCCATTACGAGGAAATCGATTTCGATGAAAGTAATGACTTTTCAATCCCCAAACTGTTTTGTGCTTTACGAGGATGACATTAATAAAATTCCAACTTGTATAATAGCTACTCCGATAAGCTGATACAGTTTAATATTATATTATTAACACAGAAACAGATATAATGCTATAAAATGAAAAATACTAGCAAAACGTGTTATCTTTCCTGGACATCTTTTAATCTATTTGATAAACTACTCTATAGGATGGAGCAAAGTTCTTATCTTTAATCTTTTATTTTTAACATTAGAACTACCAAATCAGTCAAACTGGCTGGTTTTTTTCATAATTCCTGATATTATTCCAGCAGACATTTTTAGATAGACTTCTTTGTTCAAACATACATTATAATAGAAATTGTTTCAAGTTTAATTAAATTCAATCTTGCCATTGCTAGTATTAAAAGACTATTAATCCTTAACCGATATAATGATTTGCACAAAAGTGACTGATACACCGTAGTTTCGATAGACACCAACTATAAAAATTGAAAAAATGTGTTGATCCAAAAACTATCCGTAACATTTTATTCGCAGCTAGTAAAAATAATAGAAACATGGCAAATTAACCTTTTACTAGAAAATTATATAGAAATACAATGTTAGGGTCGCTTATGACCCCAGTGTAGCAGTTAAGTAATCGGTGGCAGGTGAAATTATTAATAATAGTTAATAATCTGTATGGCGGTGTATCTGTAATGGAATCTATGATAAAATATAATAAAAATCTATGATAAAAAACTAGCTCCATGTTTTCTATGCAAGAATATGAAATCTACGATAAAGTAGAATACCTGCATTTCTATGCAGGAATGTTACAGTGCTACACGTAGAAAATGTTAGATTCGACAAAAGATCAACATAACCTTAAGCTGATCTACGGCTAGGTTTTAGAGATTTCTACACTATCGCTCGATTATTACGTAAATGTTCTTACCCTAATGATGCTAGACTTGCCTACCCCAGGTGCACCGAGAAATACGACTTTGACACGATCCAGAGTGTCTGCAGGGCTTTCTTCTTCTTTCGATCCGCTTTCAGCGTTTTCGCAGGTTATTGTCTCGCCTCCTCTCCTTTCCAAATAGTCCAGGTCGAGTTCTGCAAATGATTTACAGAATCTGTGATTCAATGAAACGGGATCCAAGTTCCATCCCCTTGGAATTAGTATTCGCTCATTGTCAGCCTCAATTTTCTAATCATCGAACTGGTTTCTTCGATGCACTCTCGTGGTCACCGACCAATTTTGCTCGAAACTATTATACCTTTGCCTCGATCTGCAATTTCTCTCTTGTTGGAGCATATAAATTAATTTAATATTAACAGTTTAAATACGTTGTACACAAGTGCAGAGCCGGATCGTTTTCAGAATCGGATATTAATTGTGATCCATTTTAATCCTCGAAGTAGCGAAGTGGCAAATGTATTTTCGAACAGAGTGCACCGAAGATAGAGTTATGAATAATAATTTCGATTATTATTTTCATTTCGATTATTATATTCATTATTAATAAACTTCCGTTGTAATGTAAGATACTGTAATTACAATAAATTTATCTGGTTTTTAACGTAATACATATAACCAATTTAATTATAGAGTTTGGGAAGCGTCGAGATTCTATTTATGCACGTTGTGATCGTGCCATTGCCAATAAGCAGAGATCTGTGTTAATTGAAATAAATTTGAATGTCAAGTCTGCGCCAGTATAGAATTGGCGGGGGTTAATGGATACTATTCCATGTTCCCTTTTTCAGATTCTTTTGCGCTGTCTATCAACTGTGCATATTGGTTACCTACTTTAGAACTTTGCTTGAATTTTCCATTGACAGGCCAAGTCAATATTTTCACCCATGACCTACAAAAGTATCAGCTTTCTTTCGGTTTAAACTGGAGCCAGATTTAGATTTCCTCATCAGAATATTATATTTGTTTCATATTTTATGTCCTCGTCTGGGACCTCGCCGGGTCGTTAATTCTGCATTGATACGACGCCAAAGATACGTTACGTGTGACGACAAGCTCGGAAAGATGTTAATTTTAGGAAAATTAAATAAGAATATCGAGAACAAATCGAATAAAAATAATGCTTCTAAATACTAGAATACGCATCCGCGTCTATTATTAATCGATTTCATTTTAGTTCAATTTTAAATGTCTTTATTACCATTTTCTTATCGATCCTAATGTCTGTTCATTATTCGAACACATTTCACAGGTCTTTGAAAACATGCGATCGTATCAATCTATGCTTCATTGACAATAATTTATGAGATTTGTAAACAAACCTGACGCGAGATTTTTATCCTTATCTGTTTAAAAATTGACGTACATATATTCGAAAGAAGCGAATGCTTCGATGATCAAATGAAACTGTCTCATTTAAGGTTTATTTAACAAGATATGTTCTTAAATTTAATAGTTTCTGTTTGTGCAGTGAAATAAAAAATGTTGTTTCGTATCTTGTTTGCTAAAACCACTTTGATGAGACCGATGCGACGAGTAGTTAGGCGAGTGCCGATGGGGGCACAGGTGGATGTTTAGGTTTCATCTTCGGTTACGAGTTCCCAAAAGTACTCGCGTCTCAAGAGTCACACACGAAAAATTATGGCAGGAATGCGTAAAGTGTGTGGTACATACCATCTCCGGTTTACATATCAATAGGTTTGAACATTCAGCCTTAACGCTAGAACTAGTGGCCCTTAACGTCACCAATGTATATTGTTTTATAATAATAACAATTGTATGTATGTATCTATTGTATGTATGTATGTATCTATTGTAATGTATGTTTGAATAAAGAAGTTTATCTATAATTTTCTCAAAGAAATATTTTCATAATATCAGAAAAATCAGAAGTCAGTCATTTTAAAAAATATAAAATTTATACTGATTCGTGATTTAAAATTCGAATTTTATATCGATTTATATACGTAGCATTATTAACTCTATCCAAATATTGGGAAAATTCTAAAAAATTGTAAATGTTCAAATAAAGTTTCATGGCATGCAAAGAAAATAATTGGATGGATGAGTCGATGTTATCTTAATTATCCGTATTTAATTGGAATATTCGTTTTAAAAACATTCTGCATTGTGTTTTTGTTTATGTAACTTTCTATAAAAAGTGTCAAGGAAAAGGCGATAGAAAAGTGATCGGTAGTGTAGGTATTAAATCATATTTCCAACACGTGTTCTATAATTATTGTATACGTACATTAGAGTAAATACAGAAGAACATATATAAACTGTTATTCCACACCTTGAGTATACGCGCATGGATATTCTTCGTTCTCGGTAGATCATTTTATTAATAAATAATTGCGTATAGTATCCATGGGAGCAAACAAGCATTTATAGAAATTAAAATTTTCATTTAGATAACAGCAGTAATTAAAAAGCAACGCTGCCTGTTCCTCTATTATTTCTATTGCTACTATTTGCTTTTGTATCGTTAATAAAAACGCCGAGTCCATTGAAGGAACGAGAGGCACATTATTTAATTGGTGGTATTTATTAAAATATATTTATAATACAGCACAGTTATGAAAGAATTGTTAATAATGACAGTCGCATCGTTTAATTTGTGATGTTTATGAAAAAATTGATCTAGCATGATCCTTCTATGATTTATAACATGAATACAATTAGAATGAATGGAAATATAATTAGAATAAGCTGACCGGTGTTTATGTAATACAAATTTAATATATAGTTATTAAAACAGTACGAAAAGGAGATTTTCTTTCCGTTATAATTTTCAATCTTAGTCAGCACTGAAAGGGTTAAAAGAAAAGATCTGATTTGTAAACCAGAGAAGTACGTTGGTGGTCGGGTGCGCACAAGACAGGAGCCGGAAACATTTGACAATGCACGTTAAAAACACTGCTAATTCGTTACCTAGCAAACGTCTATTTCCGTGTAAAGATTGCGCCAAAAGTGAATCGTTTTCTTTCCAGGAACGATCCATGGATAGATACCGAAAATCGCGGAGAGCGTTACACCTGCGATGAATTCGTGGCCCGGCAACCTTCGCGGTCGAAGCTCGAAGCTCGACTGACTCCGGTGCTCCAAAGCACGGCCAACTCCAAGGTACGATCAGCGACACTGATTGGTGTATATATTCAGTTGCAAAAAGTCCACACACAAACACACACCTGTCGAATTTCATATATTTCGAGAAACAGACAAAGATTTTGCAGATTTTGCAGATACCGGCGAACATGTTAGCTCAAAATCAGATTCTGAGAAATCAGATGCTTCATGCTTTTTTACCTAAACACGTGAATACATCGGAGCATATATTCTATATATTATATATATCTTATATGATATAGTATAGATTATTTTTATATATTATATATTTTTATTTTTTATATTTTATATATTATATAGATTATATTATAAGATCGTATTTTTTCCCATTATATATTTCTAAAAGTTTTATTTATTTATAAATTTTAATTTTCACATTATATTTAATAAAAATCAAGGCGAGCAATAAATTCAATTTTATTAGCGAGAAAATTCCGTACGATTGAAATGAAAGGGTAATACCATCGATGTCTGTTAAAATGCTTGTTTTCTTCTATTTTAGAAATATGTCAAATTCATAAGTGCATAAAGATCTGTAGTTTAGCGATTACAAGTCTGTGAATATTTATGCATTTATAGCGTGTGCAGATTTTTAAATCGCATCGGAACGTTGACGAAGAAAACCTTTTCTTAACATTAATTTTTGGAAAATAACGTAAGAAAATGACAATTTACACAAAACTTGGAATACTAAAATCTCTTGGAAATAATACTAAGAGATTTCTAAAATTGAAACAATACAGCTGAAACATTGTATAGTTTTTCTATATTGTTTAGTAAATACCACTGTTTTATATCTGTTATTGTTTGTCTAAGATTAAAAGAAGAACGATTTAATACCACAAAATCGCAATTTAAATTCAAGAAACTGCTATTTTTTAACGATAGAGAATTTTAATAATCTGTTGCCAGGAGTGTTTATTTAATTCGTCTTCTGTAGAGAAATGCATTGTTTGTTTCTATTCAGATACGAATTGACAGGAACTTTCCTGGTTCGAACTTTCCAGTCTAACAAATGTTGACAAATTGCTAAACAGATTTCTGAAATTGTTTAATGAAATTTTTAGAAATCGCTATTAAACCTATATATCTTCAATATGTCCTCAAATATAATTTTACGTTTGTCATTCTTAAGTATAATAGATTTGATCAGTAATCATTGTCTGATGGAGCCAGAGGCATCCCGGTAAGAATAAAATCCTTTGAAGCTGACGTTGAGTTATATCATATTCTCAATTACTTAAGGACTTTCAATTATCGTTCAGTGAATTTTTTAAACTTTTGTGATAACTGTTTACAATATAGTAGAACAAAATTTTTATTATTAGTCTTAGAAATTGTATAAAGTTCTCTCTGCTAAAGTTCGCTCTGTATAAAGAAATTGAATAAAGATGATGCATTTAAACTGTCGCTTACATGTTTCTTCTGTTTGTTAATGTCAGTTATAAAGAAATTTAATAAAGATGATGCATTTAAACTGTCGCTTACATGTTTCTTCTGTTTGTTAATGTCAGTTATAAAGAAATTTAATAAAGATGATGCATTTAAACTGTCGCTTACATGTTTCTTCTGTTTGTTAATGTCAGTTATAAAGAAATTTAATAAAGATGATGCATTTAAACTGTCGCTTACATGTTTCTTCTGTTTGTTAATGTCAGTTATAAAGAAATTTAATAAAGATGATGCATTTAAACTGTCGCTTACATGTTTCTTCTGTTTGTTAATGTCAGTTATAAAGAAATTTAATAAAGATGATGCATTTAAACTGTCGCTTACATGTTTCTTCTGTTTGTTAATGTCAGTTATAAAGAAATTTAATAAAGATGATGCATTTAAACTGTCGCTTACATGTTTCTTCTGTTTGTTAATGTCAGTTATAAAGAAATTTAATAAAGATGATGCATTTAAACTGTCGCTTACATGTTTCTTCTGTTTGNTATTAGTCTTAGAAATTGTATAAAGTTCTCTCTGCTAAAGTTCGCTCTGTATAAAGAAATTGAATAAAGATGATGCATTTAAACTGTCGCTTACATGTTTCTTCTGTTTGTTAATGTCAGTTATAAAGAAATTTAATAAAGATGATGCATTTAAACTGTCGCTTACATGTTTCTTCTGTTTGTTAATGTCAGTTTGAACATCATCGTTTCGTGGTTATTGTTTCATTGCTCTCACTTATTTCTAGACCCTATTTAAAAATAAAGAAAGAATAGAAACAATTCCTGTAAGAACAATCTCTTCCTACATCATTGCAACAAACATTTTATCTTGCCCTTTAATAATGTCTTCCCTTCTCGCCGTGAACAAGTACCTTATTTAATCTGGTCTTTAGTTCTGATCTTTTCCTTTACAATTCCTAATATGAAAATGTTCCTATGAGACATTTTTAGACGAACCTCTTCATTCAAGCATATATTATACAATACACATTGGTCGCGTTTCGGGCTCAGGAATTCTAGTGTTAAATTATTCAAATTAGGTGGCACAACGTGTATTCCATGCGTTTCTAATAAGAGTCTACTAATCTGAATTAATCTATAGGACATAAAAAGGTAGTTGATGCGGTACGAAATACCAAGAAACTATATCAACTTGTACTTATTATACTTCTCAGCACGTTGGCCAGGGAAAATTCAATCGAATCAGAGGAAATCTAATAAGATCCAAACTGAAAACTCAAACTGATAAGGCAGTGTCGAAAATTCTTTCACCACGAATCACCGAATTAATAATATTAAGCACGAGAGAAGCGACGCCGAATAACAAGGGCCGATCATTTTAAATTAATTAATCACAGTCAGTGTAGACGATCCTCGAGTGACAGGATTTGATAGTTATTATTTGAAATTGACCGAGTATAATCAGGACTTGGAGAATTCGATAAACGTCCCTAGATTTGGGCCTCAACGGTGACTACGGACTTGCGGAATTCGATGGGCGTGAGTCCGGATCGGTGCAACCTAATAAGGCCAATCATCAGACTCGTTAATTTCGATGCAAGCATCTGTTAAGCGAGTTGTAATAGAACCAATAAAGATAACTCATTGCACGGGACTCGATAGATATGTCTACAGGATTATTGGAGTCGCCTGGATCGACTATCGAGCCGCAGACGTTGAGAACATTTCCGGCATCTTGAAGATCTACAAAAGTGCTTACGAAGTTTTAAAACGCCGACGTGATCGTGCACTCTCTCGAGGACGAGTCCTGTATGTGTTCATGGTCCGGGAACAAATAATAGGATTTTATGCTTTTTTTAGAGACTTATAGAGACTTATAAATAGACCGCGGATTTTCATGCAAAATAGTTTAAGTCATCACCGTAGTCGCTTGGGAAAGTCTGTCTTTCTCTAATAACTTTAATTAGTTGAAAGTAGCGTATATCCATATTCTCCAACTCTTTTAATGTTTCATCTGTCTTAAATAGCGCTTACACGTACTTCTTTTAAAATGCATAAAATACACAGTTTACTTGTAAAGGACTTATAAAGCATTCGGTATTTCTTCATCCTATAATAACACCAGATATATTAAAAACATGGAAGCCAATTTTGTAATTCGAATACTTATTTCTACCGCTTCGTAGGATTGAAATATTTGTTATTCAATGTCGAATTCTGGTGGTGTTTTTTCTAGTTGATTAATAAATAGGCATAAAATGTTGAACATATAATATTTTTTTCAATATTTCGAATGTATTCCAAACAATGCAAAAACATAGGAAAACAATTCCTTTTCAAGATTTTAACGACATTTGAGAGTTTTAAGGAGAGATATTTTTTTTGATATCACGTATTCTAAATTTTGCATGGCTTTATAAATTAGTCGTTCGAAAGAACAAAATGTTATCGTTTAAATCTGTTCTTATACAAACTGATAGATTTTGTCATTAGGCGATCAAACGTGAACCTAATTTTTTAAACCACTACTACTTACAAGCAATAATGTTTTACTGTACAAAATTTTACGATTACTCCTCATTGCAATATTTTTATCTCAATTTTCAAGATATAATTTGCATCTTTTCTTTCCATTTATTCTCGTGCTATCATTATTTGAGTATAACGAATAAAAATTGTTTATTACTTTCGGCAAATGACAAGACATTAAAAATCCTATTCATATTGTCACGTATTTGTTGCTGATACTTTGTCGGAAATTGATGATAACTAAGGATATTAAACGGAATCACGATAAGTTTTTTATATGTATAATAAATAAGTCAAATTGAAATTGTTGGACGTAGTATCGTGCGACCTCTATAAATAGACTAAAGCTTGAACATTTACTTCACTATTCCATTTATTTTATTAAGAAATAATTGTTTCGGTTATCTATTTTTCCTTTCAGGGAATACAAATGCCCCTCTCCTAGCTCTCGATTTTTCTGAATCACCATATAAAATTAAAACCTTCTGCATTAATTACAGGGAATCGAAATCTACTTACAATTTTTGTAAATGTAAATTCTCTTCCAATTTACACGCGGTTTTAAATTTTATTTCTGCCATGAACGCGTGGAATCCGTGTTCTATTTATAACCATCGATAAAGTTCATGTTTACATCCGACATTTCATTTTAACGGTTCTAACAAATTATCGAGAATAAATTGTGAAATATTACAAAAATGAAACGAATATGTAAAAATTAATTATTAACGTTAACGTCTTTTCACATCGTATTTAAGAAAACTACTAAATAGAACAAAAACTTGTATTCTATATTTTCCACAGATTTGTGTTGTTTCAGCAACCTTCAGTGATGTAAAGAATTTATTCCAGATCATATACATCTTTATAGTTTCCTAAACATATATTTGAAAAAACTGTACGGACTTCATTTATTCTATTTTCTGATTATTCCTTCGTATTCGTATGCAGTTAAACAAACAGCAAAGAGTCCTATGCACCCCAGCGAAACGTACCAAACTTGTTTGCCGTAGTTTGCTAAAGTTTCTGGAAGAAATTA